ACTGGTGGTTAAAAGAAGATGGATTCGCGGATGTAGTACATGATGGTTGGTTTTCTATCCCGAATCATCCTGTAGTGGAGCGAATAGACTTGGAACGTTGGAACTGCATGCGTATCAGGAAGAATAATGAGGAAAAAGATACTCTTCAGGAGAAGCTTGCTTGTTTTCGTAATATAAATGATTTGAATGTTGTAGCTCATTACATGGAGGCTCATCATGATTATAATAAAGTTCTTATCAAAGAGGATACTTACTGGCGTCAAAGAGCCAAAACGCATTGGCTTCAACATGGTGACCTAAATACTAAGTTCTTTCATCGTTCCGCTACAGTGCGGTGGAATTTTCAAAAAAAAATAAGGAATGCTTAAAAATGAGGATGAAGAAGAAATTAGGGATCAAGAAGTTATGTGTGGCATTGCAAAAAGATATTTTGATAAGTAGTTTGAAGCTAGGACAGGGAGATTCGAGCCAGTGTTGAACTTAATCCATCTTGTCATAACTGCTGCACTGCAAATAATGATTTTCTAACAACACCTATTTTGAAAGAGAAGCTTTATGAGGCATTGAGTCAAATCCATCGTGACAAATCTATCAGTCTTGATGGTTTTAATCCTACTTTTTATCAAAATTGTTGGTCCACATGTGGGAGGATATCTTTACTTAGGCGAAATGTTGGTCCGCATGTGGATGATGATGTGTGTTTCATCAGTAAATTATTTTGTGCGTGTGAATGCGGATAATGTTAGACCTATTTAGCCAGGGAGAGGATTGAGACAGGGGGATCCTCTATCCCCATATCTCTTTATTCTTATCACTGAAGGCCTCTCGGGTCTTGTTAAAGTAGTTGTATCTTGTAGGAATATCCATGGAGTCCATATCTGTAGAGGGACACCTAGTGTGTCTCACCTGCTTTTTGCCGACGTCTGTTTTTTTAGGGCAAATATAGATGAAGTCCATAATATTTTGGAGATCCTTAAGTTGTATGCGAATGCGTCTGGCCAAGATATTAACTTGGCTAAATTTGAGGTGTTCTTTAACAGGAATATTAGTATACCTGCTCAGGAAGATCTAGCTAGCATAATGGGAGTTCGACATGTTCTAGGTACAAGAAACTATCTTAAACTTCCTTCTCTTATAGGCCGCAGTAAGAAGACCACCTTTGGTTATGTGAAGGATAGGGTCTGGAAGAAGATCAACTCATGACTTAGTAGGCCATCTTTTCATTTTGCCTGATGGGATTATGGACGATATTGAAAAGATGATAAATTCCTTTTGGTGGGGAGGAGGCAGCAATAATAGTGGTATCAGGTGGATGTCGTGGGACAAGTTGACATGTACAAAGTATGAGAGAGGGCTCGGATTCCGAGATCTCCGTGCCTTTAATTTGGTTATGGTGACAAAATAAGGGTGTCATCTATTGACTAAGCCTCACTCTTTAGTTACTAGAATCTATAAAGCAAGGTATTTCCCTGGAACGAATTTCCTTGAAGCAAATTTGGATAATATTCCTAGTTTTGTTTGGCGGAGTATTTGGCAAGATCGAAAAGTTCTAGCTCTTGGGTGCAAGTGGAACATTAGTGATAGGAGGAACATTCCGATGATGTATGTGCCTTAGCTTAGAGAGAAAACTGAAGGTAGTTTGAAAGGGCCTCAAAGATAAGGTGTGCATGACATTATTGTAAATGACATATTTTCTCCTATTGATAAATATTGAAATGTTCAGTTAATTAGAGAGTTGTTTGATTATGTAATGGTGGAGGATATTCTTCAGGCTCCCCTAGTTGAATATGTAGTTGAAGACAGTTGGAATCGGAAGGAAGAACAAAATGGATATTATAGTGTGCGGTCGGGCTATAGGTTGTGGAGAAAGTAGCAAGGGCGGTCGAGTTTTCTTACTGTGAATGTGGATTGGTGAAGTCTTTGGAATATCAAGGCACCGTTAAGAGTAAAACATTTGTTATGGCGACTTTGTAGGGATTATCTTTCGACTAGAGTGAGGTTGCGATAACACCATGTTTCGTGTTCGTCTGGTTATCTCTTTTGTGAGCATCAACTGGAGGATTCGTAGCATGTCTTCTTTGGTTGTGATGTTGCAATCTAGTGTTGGAGAGCATTAGGTTTGTGGCATATTATTGATCCACGTTTAAATTCTTATGATGATTCTATATCTTTAATTCTTGATATTTGTAGTAACAATGATAGAATGATTGCGGACAGAGTTGCGGTTATGATTGATGTTATGTGTGAAAATATAAATAATTTGATTTGGATTAATGAGAAAGATGAGTTTTCTAAACTCGATTTGCATGCTTATTGTAGTTGACAAAAGTGGTACACGGCTCAACAAAGTGTTGTTAGTGATCATTCCCACCTTGACAGTGTGAGGTGGAGGCCGCCGTCGGAAGGAAGATTGAAATGCAACGTAGGTGCGGGTTTTAACATTAGATGGAGTACTACCAATAGAGGTTGGTGTGTGAGAGATAACTTGGAAACTTTTGTTATCGTAGGGGAAGCTTGGGATTTCGGTCTCTACCCAACTCTTGAAGCGGAAGCTATGACTCTTAAAGAGGTTCTCCAAAATGCTATGGAGTTGAACTTGAAAAATGTTATCTTTGAAATTGACTCTCAAAGAGTTGCCAGGAAATTAGTACTAACAATAAGGAGTTTTCCGTGTTTAGTTTTATTATCTCTTCTATTCAAAATTAATTGTTATTTTGTCCTAATTTTGAGGTAAAATTTGTCAAATGCCAAACGAATTTGATTGCTCACACTATAACTAAAGCAGTCAATTCTTGAACTAAATGTAATTTATTTTATATAATTCCTCTTTGTATCGAAATTCTTTTGATTAATAATATAAGTTAAGTTCTTGTTTGTCAAAAAAAAAAAAAAGGATAATTATGAAGATAAGTGCATTGAAAAGTTGTAAACTAATTTTAAAATATAAAAAAATGATGACATAATTATGGAGGCTATTAACGAGAGAAAATAACAATTAAGGATATGTAAAATACTGTTTAGTTAGATTTAAGTTGAACTAGAAAGTAATTATGATTGTACTTACTTTTCTTTAATTAGTTGGTACCCGAAAAAAGACAACAATAATCAATATTATATTTAAAATTAAAATAGATTATTCATTTTAAAATATACTATATTGTTTAAAATTTAGTTTATTCATAAATAAATCATATGATGTTGTCCATAATCTAGATAACTCCTTCATGTCTCCTACTAATTTTCAGTAAATATATTCTATGAAATGTCATAATTTTTTGAGAAATTAATACGTGATGTCCAAAACTAAACATGTCATTTCTCAATTTTATTTATTTTAGTTTTGTCTTTATAAGATATAAATAATTTTTGAACGAAATTTTTTATAAAAGAGATGAAATTGCTGGTAGAAGGAATGAAATTTTCGGTACAGAACAAATTTTTGATACATCTCTATCAAATTTTTAGTAAGAATAAATTTTCGATGGTGCATTTGAAATTTCCGATAAATTGAAATTTTCAAATTTATGTGGCAGTATCAGAAATTTGAGTTATACTGAAATTTCTTGTAGGTTATGTATTCAAGTTTTTTCAACGGTCGGGATTTTGCCGACATATTTGGAGGGTTCTGATTGCACCGCTATATTTGTGTGGTCTAGAATGCATCACCATTTGTATAAATAAGGGTTTCACGTTATAAGATAAGACATCTCAAAAAATGTCATCTTCTTGAGTATCCGATTAATGCAGAAGTGTATTACAATGGATGCAACTTTGTTGTTGAATTCAAGATTTCAGATGGCTCTGAATCCCTTTCCACCTTGAAAGAAACGTTGAATGGTTTGTCGCCTGATTTCGATAACAGAAGGATGACAAAAGTCGAGTTTCGGGAGGATTGGATTGATACAAATGAAAGGGTGAAATAGAACCTAATCGAGTTGAAGAATGATGCAGATGTGAAGGCCATGTAGAAATCATTTCGCCGTAGGATAACTAAAGGTCCGATAGAGTTGGATGCAGAAATCTGAAGATCCGCCGACGACATAATGAAGATGCTGAAACAGAAACAGGAACATGTGCCTCCGCAGCATCTGGCTCCACAATAGAAACAGAAGTGTGTACCTCCGCAATAACTAACTCCACAATATGCTCCGCAACTGCCTCCTCAGCAGTGAAAACTCTCAATCTTCGACAACGGGGTACGTGAAACTGATTATGCTGCTCAGCCATCCATTTTTTGTGAAAACTGGTCAGAAGACGTCGGTCAGCTCGTAGCTCAGTAGACTGTGCCTCATCAACCCCCGTCTGAGCTTCCGCTCTATCTGCCTGTCTACCCGCAACGGTACCATCTTTGCCCCTGATCCTCATTGCAAAATAAGAAAACATTAGGAAAATATGAACTACCGGAAATTTCTAAATCTCCGTTATTTTTCAAAAACAAAATTGAACTATCAGAAATTTCAAAATTTCCGATATCTTGTTAAGTCCTGGAAATTTTGAAATTTCCGATACAAAAGGAAAATGTTTACACCGGAAATTTCAAAATTTCTAATACGAAAATACTGAATTTTTTGAAAATTTCAGTACAAAATACCAGATATTTCACAAATATATCAGAAATTCTTTATTGTCTCACTAAACTTCTGGTGTTGCCTTAAAATTTTCGATATCACCACATATATTTGAAAATTTCCGATTGATCCCAGAATTTTTAAATTTTTAAAAAATATTTAGATTTAAATAATTTAATCTTTTTATTCCACTTGAAAATGTCATGTATAAGAGAGAGAATTTACAGGTTAATTCCTCTAATTTTTGTTCCGGCCATTAAATGTTAGATAGACGAAATTTAATGAATACAAGAAGTTATGATAAAATTAATTACTAGTCGTAGAAACGGTTGTCGGAAAAGTACAACTTGTTTTAGGAAATGGTGAAACACCTCTAGTTAAATACCACCACCACTCTCAAATCAACATGCACATCACATAGCTAATAAAAAAATGGCAGAATCTGCACCACAAAGGTATAGTATAGTAGTAACAAGCTTTAATGTTGCATTCAATTTCAATCACTGTAAAATATTATTATTTGATTCGATTTTGATATACAGGTATGCAGTTGTGACTGGATCAAACAAAGGAATTGGATTTGAGATAGTTAAGCAGTTAGCTGAAGCTGGAATCAAAGTGGTGCTTACAGCAAGAGATGAGAAAAGAGGTCTTCAAGCTTTGGAAACACTCAAAGCTTCTGGTTTATCTGATTTTGTTGTTTTTCATCAATTAGATGTGGCTGATGCTGCAAGTGTAGCTGCTCTAGCAGATTTTGTCAAATCACAGTTTGGCAAACTTGATATTCTGGTAACCTTAAATTATTTTTAGTCATATGCATTGATATTCTGGAATATTGACAATATGAGAGACTAGGTTGATACAGTTATACATATGCATTGATATTCTGGAATATTTTTACTACTTTAAGCATTTAAAGAGTGCCCAAAGGACACTCGTTAGCATTTCCCTTTAAATAACATATAGATAAATGACACTCAAACACCATATGAATATATGTAGCAGGATAAATATCCTATATTTTTTACATTATAAATGTGTGTCTAGATCCGTGTCTATGTTGTGTTCTGATGATTGTGTTGGAATCCGTGCTTAGTAGGTTGTTGAGTTATGAACTATTTTGATAGCTTTGAAGGGAATCCCATGCTTCTAGTATATGCATATTTCCTTATGAAAAAGCTTCCTTGCAGGTTAACAATGCAGGGATTAATGGAACTGTAATTAATGACAAAGATTTAGCTACTGTGCTTATCTCTAACCCTGGAGTAAGTCTCTTTAGGTGCTTTCACCTTTAATTAATGATTGGTGTTTTTTCATTTCCTTTCATTGGGAGCTATCGACTCTTATTACTACTGCTTCTATCCTTAAGTTTAAGTTTCGGTTAGAAAAAAATTGTCTTTGTTGAGGAGTTTGGGGAGCGAAGCACGGGAGAATTTAAGAGATTTCGACACCATATATTTGTTAAAAATTTTAAAATATTGGGGGTTTGAGTGGATATGTGGCGTCAATATCTATGGGATCCATGAACGTTTAGTCCATTGACATTTCTGGCTCTCAGACTCTCCAACAACTGGTATCAAAGACTGGTTAGACTCAGCGGAAGTGAGATCTTAATATGGATCAAAGCTAGTGATGAGGTGACTCACGCTTGTGTGAGTGATTGTTGGGATTCAAGTGTGAGTGGTTAAGTTCCACATTGACTAGAAATGAAGGAAATATTGTTATATAAGAGAAATTACTTATACTTCCATTACCTTAAAGTTTTTGGTAGATATATGGCATCAAAGTCTCTTATACTTCCAAAGTTTGTAACTGTTTTATATTTTGGGCAGGGAATTGAAAAGCAACTATAATGGGTTTGAGTAATCATGAATTATCCTTTGCAGGCATTATCAGAAGATGAAAAGAAAAAGGCAGTGACTGAAACATATGAGTTAGCTGAAGAATGCTTGAAAATAAATTATTATGGTACTAAAATAACTACTGAATCATTTCTGGCACTGCTAAAGTTATCCGATTCGCCAAGAATTGTGAATGTATCATCCATTCTAGGGAAGTTAGAGGTAATTTGTTTTACTCCTTGTGATTTAGGCTTGAATTTGAATGAGGTATTAATATTGATGATTCTTGGTGTTAAATTCAGCGCATACAAAACGAATGGGCTGAAGAAGTCTTCAGCGATGCTGATAACCTAACCGAAGAGAAAGTGGATGAAGTACTAAAGAAGTTTCTACAAGATTTCAAAGAAGGCGGGCCTAAACGCAGGGGTGCTTATGTCATATCTAAAGCTGCTGTAAATGCTTATACAAGAATTGCTGCTAAGAATTTTCCTACTGTAAGTATCAATAGTGTTTGCCCGGGTTATGTCATCACTGATATAACTGCAAATACCGGTATCTTAACTGCTGAAGAAGGTGCTGCTAGTGTTGTCAAGCTAGCACTACTTCCCAATGGTAGTCCGTCTGGTCAATTCTATAGCAGGACTGCAGTGTCTTTGTTTTGATAAATATTGAAATTTTTGTTTAAGAATAAAATGTATTGTTGCTTTCTTGTTATTTTTGCATTTAAGATTGACAATACTATTGCTGTTGTTGTTTCTGTTGCATCAAGTTTTCTACATATAGTTAAAACAATAATTCGTATCTTATTGATGAATAACAAGTTTTCTTCCTGCACAAAATAGTGTTAAAATATGATATAGTCAAATTCAACAGGATGATTAATATCTTCTTTAATGGAATGTTGATCAGGTCATACTTTAGTTAGCTTAAAGACGGCATATAGAAAGCCAAAGCAAACTGACAAATATTACAAGCTGGCAAGGGAAAGGGCGTTACATTACATGATTACATGCATAGTAGTTTTATTTTAGTATATTATTACATGCTGTGTTTCATTGTTAAAAACACTCTACTCACATTTCAAACTTCAAAGTTGAAACTTAAAGATGAGAAAACCTGCAAACAGGTAAACTATTTTAATTGTACGCATTAATAAGTTCATTTTTGGAAGAGTCAAAAGTGATTTTGAAGAATTAAAATCTAGAGTATACCATATGGATGGGCGAAAAGTATCTTCAGTGATGCTGATAATCTAACAGAAGAGAAAGTGGATAAAGTATTGAAGAAATTTCTGAATGATTTCAAAGAAGGTTCATTAGATGGAGACAATGGTTGGCCTAAGACTTTGAGTGCCTATATCATTTCTAAAGCTGCAATTAATGCTTATACAAGAATTGTAGCTAAGAATTTCCCTTTTGTATGCATCAATAGTGTTTGCCCTGGTTATGTCGTAACAGATATAACTGACAATACCGGTTTCTTAACGGTTGAAGAAGGTGCTGCTAGTGTTGTGAGGCTGGCACTAATTCCTGATGATAGTCCTTCCGGATTCTTCTTTTACCGGAATGAAGTGTCTTCCTTTTGATTAGGACTCAAAATTTATGTTTATTGAATAATCAGGTTAATTAAGCGCTTATAGCATGAGTGCTATGCTAATAATATAAGTACTTATTGATAAGCTATTTTTCTCATTGAATTACCAATTGGCATGAAGTCCATAGCATGCAAATAGAAGTTCAAAATAAAAGAAAAAGTTGATGGTTCAATAAAATGATACAAGGAGCAATTAGTGGTTAAGGGAAAGACACAAACAAAAAGAATTGACTACATATATAAGTTTTCTCCAGTTGCTAAGATGACTACAGTCAGACTTCTACTAGTAATTGCTTTTGCGCAGAACTTGAACATTCATTAGCCTTTGATATTAACAACACATTCATTCACGGTGACTTGGATGAGTAACTCTATGTTGATGACCTTATTTTAATAAGGAAAATATATTCAACAGTTTCAAATTTTAAAATCACAATTAAAAACATTTTTTCATATTAAAGATCTTGGGGATCTTCAATACTTTCTTTGCATTGAAGTGACACAAAACAATCAAAGACTCTTTCTTTCTCAAAACAAAAAATTATTATTTAGATTTTGTCATCGGACACACTATCTTTAGGCCCATGATTTGCACATTTTTTATTCTTTGCCCTCTATTAATGCTGCTAGGTGCAGATGATTAATTGGTAGGCTATTTTATTTAACAACAACCATATCGGACATCATGATAGAATATAAATTAGTATAGAAGATTAAGAGAAATGAAAGTAAAAGACAATGAATATTATTGATCTTTGTTAACACAATTTAGTTAACAACATCTACCTCTATAATTTTTTTATTTATGTGATTAATTAGGATTACAATATTACATATAATATATATAATATAATTATTTCTCAATTTACGATAAGACCTCTAAATTGTATTATGGGTGCTACCGCCCCGCACCCCTTAGTCACCTACCTACAACAACACGGTTTGGCCTAAGACACTTTTGGAGTTTTCATATATTGTGTTTCTCTTTGTTTCACATATTGTGTTCTTCTTTATCGTAGTATGAGTCATACTCAACAATCTCCATCTTGTCGAGTATCAAACTCCTGTGAATACTTTTCGCATGAAGATCACATCCTAGAAAATAGAGAGGTACGCCTCTTGCTTAACACTGAGAAATATATAACTAGTACAAACAATACTTGAACTTGTCACTGATGACTAGCTTGATCAATATATCAAATGCATTCTCTGAAGTATGAACATTTTCAAGTAATATCTGCCTAGATGCAAGTAAGTCTCTAATCTTGTGAAACTTAATATCAATATGTTTGGTCCTGACATGATACACCTGACTGTTTTTCAAATAAATGACACCGTGACTATCACTATGCCACAGAATTCCATCTTGCTCAACACCCAATTCTCTCAACAATCATGTAACTCATAAGGCTTCTTTGACAGCTTCACTTGCCGCCATGTACTATGCTTCAACTATTGACATGGCTACTATTGATTGACAAATGATTTCCAACAAATAGATCTTCATGTTAAAGTAAAGACATACCATATTTTTTACCTTTTATCACCTATATCACCAGTATAGTCTGAATCAGCATGTCCTACGACTAAAGCATCGCCATCACTACTAAGCATGATATCAGAACATGTTATAGTCTTTAAGTACATGAATATCCACTTGATTACTTTCCAAGGATACTTGTCCAGTTTGGACATAAACTTACAAGATCAAATTAGAGCTTATTTCAAATCGGGTCTATTATATACAATAACATGCATTAAACAACCAATCGTACTAGCATAAGGAACCTCTTATACTCAACTTATGCATATGTTTTTGGCACTAATCCAATGAGCGCTTAAAATGATTCTTCAATGGAGTTCTCACAACCTTTGAATTACTCGTGCTAGACTTATCAAGCACCTTTTCAACATAACTTTTCTAAGAGAGCCATAATTTTCTAGCACTTATATTCCCGTGAATTTACACACCAAGAATCTTCTTAGAAGTACATATGTCTTTCATTTCAAACTCATTTCTTAAGATGATTTTCATTTCATTTATTCCATGTAAAATATTATGTTCAGGAACCAAAAATGGATGCAGTTGGAGAACTGATGATCTTGAACGGTGGTGTTGATCTCCTTCACGGAGGCACGGGGTGGACCTACATGGTTAGCACTCTAACTTCCAAGTTAGTTCAAGATTTAAGATGAGTGTAGTAAAAAGTAGATATCAAGGAATGTACCTTGCTCTTAGTGTGTGAACTGATTTTATACCTTGGATCAAATAGAATAGATTTAAGATGAGTTTGGCCTTAATTATATGGGCTTATGGTCGACCCGTAACATAAATAATTAGAAACAATCAACATATCATCAACATAAAATAACATGAAAATAAAAGAGTCATTGTTGAGGATCCTAACATAAATACAACGATTATACTCACACCTTTTATAGCCAATCTGAAGCATGTATAAATCAAAGTGCATATACTATTTCCTTGAAGACTTTTTTAAATCAAACAAAGACCTCTTCAATTTACAAATTAGTCTGCCGTGTTCAGTGTCACTGAACCCCTTTAGTTTCTCATGTAAATTTTGTCATCTAGATTACCGTGAAAAATAGTATATTCATATCAATATGCTCAAATGCATGTCCCAACTGAAAACTAATGCTAACAATACCCTACAAGAAGTAAGTTTTACGACTGGAGAGAAAATATCATCACAATCAATCTCTTTTTTATGTGAGTACCCCTTTGCTACAAGAAGATCCTTTAACCTTTCCCCTTATTTTTTTTGTTACTGCTAGTTTTCTCTAGAACACTCATACAACTGATGACCCTTTTCCCCTTAGGAAGCTGAATAAGCTCCCATGTTTGATATTTATTCAAGGACTACATCTCCTCCCCCATTTCACTCATCCACATAACTTTCTCCTCACTAGCCATGACCTTTTGAAAGCTAGAAGGCTACTAAGTTTTCATATCCATATCTTTATAGTAGATTGGTTAAACAATGCTCTTTGTCACATACATGAATATAATTATGTACTCCACCTGAAACTTTAGTTGTAACACCCTATTTCTCCGTCGGTAGTTTAACCAAAAATCAGAGTAATTTAATTCATAAAATAAAACATCAAGAATAGGATACCACATCTTCATACATCATATATGCTCATATAAAAAAGATACACAACACATAATCACATGTTCACCAAGTCTGATCTTTATTTCATTTATTTGCAGCAGAAAACATCAACAGTAGTTATTCTAAATTCTTTAACACGAGTTATAATTATCATAAGTCAAACTTCAACATGTATCATCAAATAAATCCAACAAAGTGGAGTTCTACAATAGTTTACTCCTATCATGATAAAATAAACACGAAACCTCAAGTGTTACGTATCAGAGATGACACTGACTCAATCTACGCAAAATGAGGCACTTCTCAGCGAGTCTCTACCTCGAGCTACTTCAGATCATCTGCATGTTATCCATATAGAGGCAACATTCAAACAGAAGGGGTGAGATATCACAATAATATAATAAGTTATATAATCATAGGTATACGATAAATATATCACGCAAGATTCCAAACTCAACAATCATCAATCATAATTCATAATGATTATACAAGTACATATATATTTATCATCATCCATCATACAACACATACACACTATGCAACTCAACTTCATAGTTATATCAACAATTTAATCAAATGCAATGCAACTGACGCTGATGCAAGATGCATGTGGTACCAATAGGGCAGAACCTCCATCGTGATAATTCCAACTTAGGGCAACAATACCATAACGCCAATACAGGTCATCATTCACCAATACAGGCTATAGTTCGCCAATACATGCCATTGTATAGAGCATAAGCCCTTATCATGAATGCATACGAAACTGACGCATAACAACATTACATGCATTGATATTACTACTCACTAATGCCACGCCAATACAGGCCATCATCATCATGCAGTATTTATGTAATTCATTCATACATCATTCATACAAAACCATCATGTTCAATCACAACAATATGCATCACACTTCATAAAACATTAACACACAAGGCATAAACCTTCACCAAAATATTCATCATAAGATAGAAAATATCACACCACGTCAACACCAAAATCATCATGATTAATTCCACAACAACAACAATTCATCATTAAAAATATGACATTCTCAATTAATCTACTATACAAAGTATCTGCATATATTTCACAATACGACATAACTCGATAGTACGAAACACCCATCTACACATCAATTAGTTGAAATTTTGATGTTGAAATTATTTTTAATAGAAATTAAGTTAAACTAGTGATCCAACGATCTGAACTACGCATCAATCAAATACCCGAAATTCAAGTTATGAATTTGTGAAGTTTTACAAGATTTACAAACACCGACAACCTACAACAACAGACACTGACACCACAAAACATCTTTAAACACAAATTAAATTTAGTTTCATAACTTCAAACTATTTTTACAAGAAAGTGCATTGAATTAGCTTTTCAATGATTCAAATGGCGCCTAAAACGGACTTACGGTTTGAAAGTTATGAATTTTTGAAAATTTCATTTTTTTTTCAATTTGCTCTCGTGATAACCGATTACCCAATATGTGGTGCCCGGGTACACCCAGTCAAAATACCCAGAAACACTATTTTTTCACGCGGTAACCGGTTACCCATATACTGTAACCGATTCCCACTGTACTAGAGTCAAAAAACCAGATCTTTATGTTACAAAAATCATCATTTTCCAACCCAAAACCTCAATTTTTCTACATCAAAATACATAATCTAATTTATCACATTGTCATACTAAATCTACTACATTCTAACTCAATTCAAATCATCAATTATGTATAATTTCAATGGATTAAATCAAAAACAATCTACACCCAAAATCTATCATTCAATATCATCATCTACCCACAATTATACCACCTATTAGAGAGTCGGAACTCCACTCT